AATATTAATATCAGGAAAAACGGCTTAACCTCACTGCTTAACAACTTAATTCTAATAAAATCTGCTTAAATTAAAGAAGAGAAAAGCCATTTAAAGGAATGGCATCAGAGGAGAGAAAAGTGACAATCTTTAATACATTTCAGGACTGATAGATCACCAAAGCTACATACCTGAGCAACAGCATTTAGTTGATGGCAGAGTTAAATAGTTAAAATTCCAAAATTCAAGTGCCAAAAGACTTTCTTTGTATCCTTCATGTGTGTCCGTGTTTGTGTCTGTGTTTCCCAGCTCATTCCTGGTGTCTTTAACAGCCTGAGCATCATTGGGCATCTTTCTTTTCAATAGAAAACACTTTAAATAAATTTCCCATCTTCTCATTGATTCTCAAAAGGAGACAAATGCTTTTTTCCTGTGGACTAGACTGTGATGAGCCTGAGTCTGCTGGCCACAGCCTCCCATGCCATGGTAGCTGACATCCGAATGTGCAGCATAAGGCAGCACCTCGCCACATTTGGCATCCCCGTGGGGTGAGCAAATGCTCCTGTGTTAGATGATGCTGGGGAAGAGGAATCTGTGTGGGAAGCCTCTGCAGAGGTGCCTTCGCTGCTCACAGACCCCATCATCCTCGAAGACTTCAGACAGGCTCTCCCAGCAGCCTAGTGCTGGCTGGAAAGAGCAGTGGTGCATTAGGGTAGTAATCCTCCTGTGTGAGTGGACCAAAGACGACACACCACTTGATTTAATTTGTTGTCTCAATGAGGCTATTACAGCAAATACCGTTTACCCAGCTACCCAAACAGGAAAAAAAAATATCATTACCTTACTGTGCACAAGAAGATACTACTACCCAGTTGTTTTTACAGGAGTCCTATGATGTAACTGAGTTCCTTTTCCATGGTGTCTTGCTGCTTAGCCTCAGCAATTGTAGTAAAAAAGATTGAATGAAAAGCACCCGCTTAAACCCATAGCATTAAGATAGGTCAAGCCAAAATATATCCCGATCAGAGCCAAAGCCCTCCGACTGGTATTTACCTGTTCATTCTGTTTCCTCCACTCAGTGTAGTCACTCGCTATGTACCCTAAGCCATGGATGACTTCTAAAAAGGAACAACTCTTGCCAAGATGAAACCTAAATAGCCACCTTCTTCTTTGCTAGCTCAATGTAGAAAATTGGAGAAGACAAGAATTAAATTTTCAGGCCGATGTACTCCTTTAGCCCAAAATTCAATTAATTCAACACACGAGAAATTATGCAAAATAGTTGTGTTTTTTTGGTATTGGGGATCGAACTCGGGTCCTTGCGCTTGCGAGGCAGGTGGCGGAACCACTGAGCTAAATCCCCGGCCCCAGAATAGTATTTTAAAATCTCCTTTACAATTCACTGCAACTCAGTGGTACTTTGTTCTCCATCAGTAAAAGCTATGGCACTTTGTGGGCTATAAAACACCCTACATAAACATGAAAATATTAAATTAGAATTAAAATAACCTTTTTTGTTACCTTAGTGAAGTAACAGTGATACTTAGAAAGATTTTGTGTACAGTAAGCATTTTCTTCTAGAAATTTCTTTTTAAAAATAAGACTTTTCATTTTAAGGCCCTGGACTAAATTAATACTTATGATGTTGAAATATCATAGATTCTGGAGTAAAGCAGTCGTCTTAGCAATGAGGTGTGATTAGTTAATATAGAATGTCTGTCATCACAGTTAATCTTCTGAATATGGAAGACTGACTACTTACTGTTTTTGGAAATAGTAGGATTTTTTTTTTTCTGCCACATTGGTAATTGAACCAACATGTATGGCCTTCTACATGCTTATCTAAGTGTTCTACCACTGAGCTACATCCCAGCCCTTCAGAGTAAATGTTTTTTTTAGTAGAAATGATCTTACAAATCAAATTACTGATGTTATTATTAATCTTAAAGAGGAAAAGACACTTAAAAATAAGTTAGGAACTCTTTTTTACCCAAGCCATTCCTTTCCATCCTCTGTTGATAAAACATGGATTTAATTTAGTTCACTCCCCTTGCAGCAGTACTGACGAAAGCAGCCATAATGGCATGGACTTGCTCAGGGACTGTCCAACAGTGGCAGTCCTCTGCGGAGCTGCAGGCCTCCGAAACTGTTCCCACTGTTTACTCGTACCCAGTGTCACCTATCACTTCACCCATCCTCATCCCTTTATTTCTCTGTGCACTGGAAAGCTTTCATCTGCTCAGACGTCAGCAGTCTTGGTCCTGTAGTCGTGTTCGTTTTAGCGGCATGACTTTTATCAGTGAAATAATGTGTTCCTTCTCCCTCTTCTGCAGTTCCAGATCACCAAGAACAGGACATCTTCCTCTGGAGGAAAGAGACTGGATTCGGATTTAGAATTCTAGGTGGAAATGAGCCAGGGGAGCCCGTGAGTGTTTTGTCTGCTTCTCTTCTCTCCACGGTGCCGTTTGCTAAGACTTCAGAGCAGGTTGGCGGTGACTACAGGTCACCAGGCCTAGAGCGCAGCTCAGAGGCCGCGCTGGCTCTTTGTGGTGCCTAGTGTGGACTTGCTGGGTTTTGCGGGGAGGGGGAGCTCCTTCTTTTCCCAGAAAGAAGGGACAAAATTCTTTCTCAAGTTTGTGTCAGTGTTATGGAGCACAGCAGCTGTGGCATCTGGAGGCCCCCGCTAAGAAAGAGGGAAACAAAGCAAACTAGGGAGCAGTAAGAAAGGTCATGGTCTGCCCTCTGGGGCCAGCTCTGCTATCTGTCAGCAGGTAGTGGGCCTGCATGTTGGGGACAGGCTGCTCACAGGACGCACTGCCTCACGGGGCGCATGAGGTGGAGAAGGCAGGATCTGCTCCTCACGGAGGAGGAGGCAAACCTGCACTGGGCCGGGTGACATGCACCCTCCCTGGGCCTCCGCTTTAGAATAAGTCCAGCATGACATGGCAGGACCCCTTTGAAAGGGCCAGAGAGAACTAAAGATAACTGTTGCTGATTCCCTCATGATATTAATAGCTGCGATTTGCTGTCATTGACCACTGAATATGTGCCGGGCATGATGCTAACAACTCTTAACAGACATTCTCTCATCTATCAAATCTGGGAACTTATCCCATTTAATTCAGAAAGACACAAAAGGTTCATTAACTTGCCCAAGACTACAGACCCAGTAAAAAGGACTGATAGAAGCCCAATTCCAGATTCTTATCATTAGCCACTGGTTTGTCCAGCTCTCTGGTGAGCTCTAAATACCGTGTAAATGTAATTGTAGCGTTCTTGTCTACTGAGAGGGAAGCCACACAAATATTCTAAGTCAAGTTTAGTGACTGGGAAATGCAGCAGCAACTCCCTAAATACAGACATTGCTCTGCTTTCAGGTTTGCAGAGATTGCAGTGATGGGGTGTCACACTAGCTTTTGCTTAATTAATTCATCTAACAACATTAATTGGGCATTCCCTGTTGCTAGGCATACTACTGGACCCTTAAAAGTAATAGTATTTTTATAACTAGCAGAGTTTTATGAAAGGAGGATTTTTTTGGTAAACTTGAAAGGAGAAACATTTTTATAAATGAGGGACTAAAGTGATCTACGTCTTCAAGGGGAAATAGAAAGAGGGAGTCATCAGTAGAACCCAGATAAACATCAAGGAACCCAGCAAGAGACATTACTGTTTTAAAAATTGTCACAGCACCTAGTGCAATGCTTTGTACACAGTGGATGCTTGCTAAATGTCTGTGGCATGCAGCAGACAGGAAGGGAGGAAGGGAGGAAGGGAGGAAGCAAGGAAGGAAGGAAGGAAGGAAGGAAGGAAGGAAGGAAGGAAGGAAGGGAGGGATTTCTGAAGATGTGGAGGCCATCAGTATAAGAGCATTCCAGAAGGGCAATGTTCCATCCATCATCCCATTGCTCCACAGATTTATATTGGTCACATCGTACCACTGGGTGCTGCTGATGCGGACGGCCGCCTGCGGTCTGGCGACGAATTAGTCTGTGTAGATGGTACACCAGTAATTGGAAAATCACACCAGCTCGTGGTCCAGCTCATGCAGCAAGCGGCCAAGCAAGGACACGTCAACCTCACAGTGCGGCGTAAAGTGGTGTTTGCTGGTACGTTTTTCATTCATTCCTTCAGATAGTGCGCTGTCACTTTTGTGTCTGCCTCCTCAAGCTTCTATTTTAGCAAATGTTTGCAAATGGGATCAAGCTCAGAATTTCCAGATGGTTTGCTTCTCTCCAACCCTGCAAAACTGCTGTCATTCAAAAGTACTTTAATGTGCAATTTGCATGTATTCAGCAAAGGCTTCCAGAAGTCTATTGAATGTATATTAGCTACCTCCCATCCAACCAGAACTCAGCTACCCTCTTTGTGTTATAATAATTCTCAACAAAAGAGGTCATTAGAGAAAAGTTGTAGCTTAAAATTAAGTGAGCTTAAAATTAGGTTTGAACTGAAACAAATGCTCATAAAAAAGTCTTGTTGTACCTTGTTTTTCCTGTTATATATATGAAACCAGTCAATGCTAGGTCGTCTTTCATTCCTTCATCCTGTCTACAAGCTTCCAGCCTAGTCCTTAAGACACTGCATATCCTTAGGCTGGGCTCATGAAGAACCTCCTTCCTCCGGAGTTTTCCCCTCCTCTGTCTGCCTTCGTCTTAGCATCTCCTCCTTGCCATTCTTGGGACTCTCAATTTACTTCTGAATCAGAGTCCACCATTTGAGACATCTAATTGTGTACAGATCTGTCCTTCCCATTGTCTTTCAGCTTCCAAAAAGCATAATATGACTTAATTGTGCAAATTTGTATGCAGTTCCCACCTCAAGGCCTGTAAGACAGAACCCTGAATGTAGAAGAAATTAAGCGTTGTATCAGTTGAAGTACTGAGTAATGTGACATGAATATTATGAATTCTCCATAATATTAATAGTAGTGTAATGAATACCTATCAGATAAAATTAGTAACTTATTTTTAAAAAATAACTAGTATAAAACCTGTTTTAAGTGACATATAATTAGTTACAGAATTAACATTAAATTGCAGTGTGAGAGTCCTACCTACTGCAGCCATGGAAAACAGTGCCCATCAACCATATCTTGTGTCCCTAGAGTTCCTTGATGGCTGCAAAATCCCTCTTAACATAGTAAGTACGTCATACAGCTGGTGGCAGTAAGCTAAAACAGGATTTTGAGATGAGTTGAAAATTATTTGACTTCCATGATCCACAAATAGTAAGGCAATGTGATTTTTTTGTTTTAAACCCTTTTTAAAAATTGTACAGTCTTTTGAATTTCTGGCTTTCCGTAAAGGGCACGCTAGATCTAAGGAGAGACATTGTGCGGAGTGAAATGAGCCAAAGGCCAACTCCTGCGCGTTCCCCTTTCTGGAGGTTTGGAGAGTAGTCAGATTCGTAGAGAGGGAGGGTGGGTGCCAGGGAAGTGGGGAGTGGTATCACTGAGGACAGAGTTTCCGTTGGGAAAGACGATGAAGTTCTGGAAACAGATGCACAGCAGTGTGAATGTACTTACGCATGGAATTGTACAGGTGAAAATGTCTAAAATGGTAAAATTGATGCTATACGTACTTTTCCACAATATAAAAAAATCACAAAAGGAAAAGCTCCGGGAACTAATGTAGCCTCCCCACACCCTGGACATACATAGGCTTTGATCATGGCGTGGCTGGCCTCACTTACTGTACCGGCTGCTGGGTGCATGATGAAGTCAGCTGACCGAGCAGTGATGGTCACTCAGCTGCAGCAGCCGGGCCTCTGGCTCTGAGATCAGAGTAGACACTGGCGTCTGACGGCAGAAGGGAAGCTGCCTGCCGCCCGCAGCGGAGAAACTTCCCTGTGCAGTCCACCCAGCAGAGCCAGCAGCACCTGAGCAGAAGCATGCGAGTGCGTGCTCAGACCGAGAAGCCGAGACAGTGGCTGTGCTTGGTATAAATTTCCTTTTGTGCAGCGGGGAACTATTTCAGTGTGGGCTGGTCTTGCCGCACACTTGGATCTGAGCGTCGGTGTTGGCAGACGGTCCGCCCGCAGATGGTGCACACGTTGAGCGTCCTCTTTGGTGTGTGCACGGGACCAGCAGTCCTGGGCAGGGACCTTTAGTTACCGAGAGAAGCGGCCAGGCGTGGCAGGCTACCCGTAAGCCCATCGGGAGGCTGAGGCAGGCATAGCCGGTCGGAGCCTAGCCTGCGCAAGGCAGAGGGGCCTTGGGTGAAAATGTGACCCTTGGAGAAGGCCCGGGCCAGCCTCCTCCAGCCCTGCCTCTGTTGCAGCGCCCAAGCCCCCGGAGCCCGAGGTGCCGTCGCCCGCGTCCTCGCAGCACAGCGGCACACAGACGGCCTCGCTGGCCGAGGGCAAGCGCACGCCGCAGGGCAGCCAGAACTCGCTGAGCACCGTGAGCTCGGGCAGCGGCAGCACCAGCGGCATCGGCAGCGGCGGCGGCGGTGGCGGCGGCGGCGTGGTGAGCACCGCCCTGCAGCCCTACGACGTGGAAATCCGGCGCGGCGACAGCGAGGGCTTCGGTTTCGTCATCGTGTCCTCGGTGAGCAGGCCCGAGGCGGGCACAGCCTTCGGTGAGTGCCGGCCGCCGCCTCGCCCCTGCCCTTCGGAGGGCGGGACTTCCGACCCTTCCCGCTTTCTTTCCGGAGGGCCTCGGGTGCTAACCTCAAGCTCGCCAGGAGATTTGCGTAAAACTTGATTAGCAACCCCTTGACCGCGTGAGGTATCTGAAATTTTTGCCAGACAGATTTTGGAAAGGTCCTGAGTAAGCCGTCAGCGGTAGGGATGCCCCGAAGGCCTTGGGAGTTTTAAACAGAGGCCTAGGAGTCAAGACTGAGGAGTACAGTGTGGCCTGGGGTCCTTTTCCCACCTGCCTGTGCCCGCCTTTTACCCTGCCGAATGTTTTTAAAATTGTAAACACTGTTTTGACTGTTGCTTAAGAATCTGCTTGGAGGGGGCGGGGATTTAGCTCAGTGGTGCCACCGCTTGCCTTGCAAGCGCAAGGTCCCAAGTTCCGTCCCCAGTCCCCAAAAAAAGAATCTGCTTGAAATCGGAGTTCACAGACATTTGCTTTTAGCACTCATCCAGAGGTTGAGGTTTCAGCTAAGTGTGCAGAATCACAGTTGTCTCTGAAATTTAACCCTGCGGGGTACACAAGCCAAGAGAAGTAGGAATCTAGGTGATTCCAAACACTACTCATCTAGCCCTCCTTCCCTTTCCAGTGAGTTATCAAGGTGCACTCCAAAAGTTTCCCACCTTCCTGGTCACGTTTTTTAAGTCCTTTGTCGTCTCCCACGCACAAGCACAAGCGTAATGAATGTGGAATGTGGCCGAAGGGGCGGGGCTGTGGCAGGCTTGGTGGCCATCCCACGTGGCCCCATCGTCTCCTGACCTGGCCGGAATGAGCCCGGTGCTGCACCCCGCGGAGCCCTGGGGTAGGGAGCCCTCTGCCTCCACGTGGCCTTGCTGAGTGGCTTCCTGCGCACGTCGCCCGGCCCCGGCCCTGGCCCGTTCTGTTTGGCCGGGGACTGGCCGGTGCGTGTGGCTCAGGACCCAGCGCGTGCGGGACGGTGCTTTCTGTGAGCTCCACCGACAGTCACCACAGCGTGCATGATCAAGGCAAGAGTTTTTTGTTTTGTTTTTAAAATTAATTTTAGGAACTTTTCTGCGTACTTTACAAATACAGCGAAGGGAAGAGATGGGATAAGAAATCTCAGGCTTTCATCTTCAGATCTAGAATTTGACTGCTCCCATGTCTTGTGTGTTCTTAGTACTTCAGAATTCTTTCAGTCTCTAGGAAGAAAGAGCAGGCATGTGGGTAGCAAGCTCTGTGTTACATGATGAATATGGAATGTTTTCACTCACAATTTGGTCTTTGATTGTTTCCTTTGGTTTTTACAATCAACGAATCAAACTCCCCAAACCTTGCATGAGACTTCTGAGCTGTGGAGCTTTCCTCATACCTGCTTCATCTTGCCAGTTCTGCTTGAAAACGAACTAAGATTAACCAAGATCTTGAATGAGTATGGATGTTTCCTACTACACCTCCTTGTTGAGTCCCAGTATATAGTTTTTCCCTTTTGAAATTCTTGGACTTGACATTACACCCAATGCCACAGACTCGGGCAAATCTGCTCAAATTCAAAGGAATTCCAGTGCCTTTCCCACATGTTAGCCTTCAGGTCTAAACTGTCGTGGAAGTCTACCCACTTAGTTCCATTGTTTCCCATGTTAACTTCACAACCCTCTCCAGAAGGTGACTCAACTGTATAACTCCCTTCATAGCTCCCAGAAAAACAGATCCTCAGAATCGATGAATGTATGCAAGAAACATAGAAACAGTTACCTAGAAACCCCGTGTCGGTCGTAAAGCCAACTTTCCTGGTTCCTGTAGGGGTTAGCAGTGACATGTAGCTGAAGCCACCTTCTCCCAGTGCCCTTTTCCTGGTACTTCATGGCATGGTTGTGCAGTGACTGATGGTGAGCAAGGAGAAGGGATGATTTGAGGCTGGCTTTGAATAAGTGCTGCTGGCCCAGCAGGGTCCCAGACTTCCCTGTCCCTCTGAGGGGGCTATTGTGGTGCAGGAGGTGATGAGCCCTCCTACCCTGAGTCACATGCAGTGGGCTGAGCGGGCAGGGTCCTACAGGAAACTGCTGAGGTTGGCTGCTTTCTTGGCTGATGTCTTACAGTATGCCATTTTCCTGAAGGAGTTGCCATTGTTAATAGAAGGCAGAAAGTGTTGCTTCATTAGATGGTTTCAGATTGAATTTCCAGTGCCAGCAAACTCTTAGGTCTTACCAGAAATAGTGATTGTTTTTCTAAATTGAGAAAGAACAAAACATTGGTAGAAGCTTGAGAGCTGGCCCAAAATGAAGTGACGTGGACACCAAGTGAGGAAAACAGCCATCCCACGCTGGGTCTGGCGTTCACAGTCCTCAAGCCAAGGACGGGCTATCCTGGGGCTTGTAAGACTCTTTGAAGTTGGCAAATATTCCAAATTTTGTAATTGTTTTAAGCGGGAAGCTGGGGTTTCTCCGTCATTTTGAATCAGGTAAAACCACAGCCATGAACTCTAGTTTCAGGGCAGTGGCTTCTTAGACTCCGGGTATTGCCAATGTTTTGTCAATGGGCACAGAGCTCTCCTTTAATAACATTTGCTTAATGCTTTAATTAATTAACACTTAACCTTCTCTTTCCCTTTTCAACCCTTTTCTCCTCCCTTCACTATATTCCTACGTCACTTTTAAAAAAATTAAAACTCAATATCAAAGCAGGCAATGCATGTGTGGCTATGCCTCACAAAATAGGTCGGATTATTGAGGGGAGCCCTGCTGACCACTGCGGCAAGCTCAAAGTGGGAGACCGGATCCTGGCAGTGAATGGCTGTTCCATCACCAACAAGTCCCACTCAGACATTGTCAACCTAATCAAGGAAGCAGGAAACACAGTGACGCTGCGCATCATTCCCGGGGACGGTACAGTATACCGATTGTGGCTCGCTCGCTCACTCTCCCCCATTCTCGCTTTCCCTCCTCTTTCTTTGTTGGGGTCCATGTAAGTGAAGTGTTGATGCAAAGGCCGTTAACCATCGCTAACTGAACAGGTCCATCAGGCCCACGTGAGCCCTCGTCACTAAACCATACCCTGCACTCATATCTGATGGACCCTCTAGCCCTGTGATCCTGTCTTGCTGCATATATAAAAATACCAGAAAATCTTCAGCTTTCCCAGTTTTTTTGGTGTCCTTGTGTTTAAAACCATAAAACTGTTTTGATACAGGTAGTAAAGATCCCTGATGTCCTACTAGAAATCAATAGTGATTTCTTTCAATAGTCGCTGTCATTACACTATGATGACATTATACAACCTAGGTAATGAGGGTAGCCAGTGCTGATTTTTGGTTGGTTTGTTTATTTGTTTTTTCAAAATAAGTGAGTGTATCAAAATTTTGATTTCATGAGAAAGTTTTCTGCCTACCTGATTTGTTCCTAATTTTTAGATGTGGATGAAGAAAGAAGTAAATGTGTAAATTTGTGATAGATTATCCTATATTAAACTAAGCGTATTCTTATTTGCTTGTTTGCTTAGTTCAATTCAGGTCTTTGGTTCTTTGACAGCAGGGGCAGTCCTGCCTCGGGACACTTGGCAGTGTCTGCAGTGGACGCTGAGAAGCAGCTAGTGGGTGGAGGCCAGGAATCTCCCGGGCATCCTACACCACACAGAACAGCCTCCTCAGCAGGTCCCTGGCCAGGATACCAGCCTTCACTTTATTGTTCATATTTTCAAACTTGGAGTTGATGTGTCAATATCAGTAAATACAAACTGTCCAGAGACTTGAATTCCAAATACTGACCTCACTGAAAGTCACCTTCGCCCCTGGGAGGTGTGCTAGCTTTCCATCACTGTGACGGAATGCCTGTGCCAACAAAGATGTACTTTGCTCCTGCTTTCAAAGGTCTCAGTCCATGGTTGGCCGACTCCACTGTGCGCCACTCCTGGCTCCCTCTCTGCCTTTTGTATGCTGAGGGGCAGGTGGGGTGAGGCGAAGGCAACCTTCCTGTCCTTTGAGACATGTGCAAGGGATAGTAAATACAGAGCAGCAGAGAGGCCTACAGAACAGGTGAACGTGCTGGATCTGAATTTGGACTTTGACAAGTCCAACCATACTTGGGGTTTGGGCAGGGCCCTCGCATTCCTGGTGGGAATAAGGCTTTTATCAGACAGAGCAGAACCAGACTGAGCCAGGCTAATATGGCATCAAGTTCAAGACCGTGGAAGTATTTATGAGCTTAAAAATGTATTATTTAAATTGTGGTCTTGGATTTGACCTTAGTCTACTCTGAATCAAGTGTTTGCTTATACAGGAGGTAGGACCTGGCCACACAGACACCACTGTTTTCTGGCAAAAGCGTCTCCCCAGACTTGCCACATACGTGTGGGATTCACATTCCCAGTGCTGCCTTCAGATATTAACTACATATACGTTCACATGGTAAAATATTTATGAAAGAAATGATTGTGTCCTTTGTTGATGTGCTTGGCTTTTCGATGTGTACTCCATAAATAAGGCTGAGGTCATCACATGAAAAGGAGTTAGAACTGCGATCCCTTGTGCAGAGATAGGTGGAAGAAACTGTCAGAAGAGTACATGCCTTGACTTAGAACAGCCCCATGGAAGTCCTTGAGAGCCGAGGTTTGCTTTTGGAGAGTATAATGATGCCCATTTTCATTCTCCTGGGAGAGCTACGTAGATGTAAACATCTTTTGGAAAAGCTGTGGAGGGTTTCCAGGAATCAGTCTCTAAGACATTCAACCTGTCCATTCCAAGCGAGGTGTGTCGACACCTTCATAACATCGCTGCTGGAAGGCAGGGACTCACACTTGTTTAGGCCCTTCCTTTAAACTGTGTTTTTTTCTGTTATGCAGGGCAAGTTTTGCTTTGGGATAGAACTATAATATTTTTTTTATAATGGGCTTCATCTCTGTATTTGTAAAAGAGAGCATTTAACCAGATACAATCTTGGTTTAATGGCAAATGAAGACTTAAAAGTTTATGAAACAAATATAACTGTATCGATATTATAAAAGCCTACTGAAAATTAGGGGCGTGCTAAACATTATTTTGGTACTCTGAAAGTGGCCTGTGAAATCCTTTAGTCCTGTAGTATTTTGTATTTTAATGAAGCGTGATAATGCTTAGTGAAGTTGGTGGTATTTATGTAGTAAAATAAAAACTTTGCTTATTTGAAAGGAATGTGCCAATTAGGTATGGTTTGTTTGATACCAACACAGCATGCCCATGTGAGCAGAACTAAGTCAGCTGTCGGTAGGTCCTGAGCTGAACCCCCTTTACCACCCGTGCCTCTGGGGTGCCCTTGGCCATGGCCCTGCCTTTTGTTTGCCTCAGTGTGGGTCTGCAGACTGGAGCAGCAGACCACCGGCTGTGCTGCGTGGTGAGACTCAGTTGAAGCAGTGTTTGTGTGGCTCACGTAGGTGGTCTAGAGATGATGGCTGTTCATAGACGCAGAGCACAACAGCATGAGGAAGATTCAGAGGCTCAAATAGGTATTTGCATATTAAATGTTAATTTTTAAAAGTACTTAAAGTTAAGCTTCAATCCCAAATAGATTTGCATGTAAATATGATTGGAAAAATAGCAAGTGAAAGGTAGGAGGAAAATTAATAAAGGCATTCTGTTTATGTATGGAGTGATTATCTGTTGTATCTCATCAGATCATGAAAGCAGCACAAATATAAAAATTATTTGAGAATAGGATTTGATCTGCTTAGAAAATTCCAGCTACAAACAACACACAAGAACTCTAAAGGGAAACTTCACACAACCCAGTAACTATAATCACTTTAATTACAAGAAGACATTCTTTTTGGTATCCTGATTATGATTACCCACCGTCCACAGAATCTTGTGATTTTGCAGAGTCTCCATAAAATTAATTACAGTGAGCAATGTGAAGTTTGTTAAAGGTCCAGTGCATGTGTTTGTGAAAGTTCTGGCGAGTCACGGTGGCGGGTGGGCTGTCCTCTGTCCTTCTGCTGACGTGGGGCAGCTTGATGAGTCACCACTTAGGTGCATCACTTCGGTTCTACCAGTTAACTGCCTTTGAAGGGGGGCAGTAGAAGGAGCCAGTGTCCTTCTGAAGGCACCGAGAAACAATTAATAATGTGTTTTTAATGTAATAATAAATACCAAAAGAACACTAATTATTTTTAGCATGATTAATGTACCAAGTGCTATCTCACTTTATTCTTGGATAGTCTTTATACTAATTTCTTAGATTCTTCGGTCAGTTCCCTTGTGCAGATAAGGAACCTGAAGCACTGAAAATTAAGTGACGTTGCCTAAGTTCTGCCTGTTTAGTAAACTGCAGAGCTGAGGATTCGAAGCAAAATGATTCAGACACAGTCTGACCTTGACGCTGCTGGGTTAACCCACTTCCCAATTAGCTCCAGAAGCAGCCCCTCCCCAAATCAGAGGGAAACAACCCCACATGGGCTTGGAGACGCTCCACAGTGTCTGCAGAAGCAACAAAACAGACTCCCTGGAAACCTTTCCTTTCATGTCATCCAGAACTTTCCAAACTTTAACTAACCATAGGTTCTTCTCCCTCAGAATTTGTAGAAATATTTGGTAACAGACTGTGGAGAACAGGGCTGGGGATTTAGCTCAGTGGTTTCGCCACCTGCTGCGCAAGCGCAAGGACCTGAGTTCGATCCCCGGTACCAAAAAAAAAAACAAAAAAAAACCAGATTGTGGAGAACATTGTCCTAAAACGTGAATGGAGTTCATACAGCAGTTCTCTTGATCTAGCTGTATTTTCTTGTTAATCTTTTGTCTTGGTTATAGGAATAGTGGACTTCTATCACTTCAGTAAAATTTATTAAAATCCTCTTTAAATGTTTCATTTCGTAGAGATCTTAACTTAAAGGTAAGTTCCCATAGTAATAAACCAAAAAGCCTTAGTGGTAGCAAGACCCATAGCTACATAAATATGTACCGAGTGCTTACTGCATGTCCCTTTCAATCCATGAGAAGGGAATTAGTGCCATCATCTTTCATGAGATGAGAACAATAAGGCGCATAGCTAATGAGAAGTGGAGGGGAGGATTTGAATCCAGGTCGACATCTCAAACCCATGCTTTTAATTCCTGTGTGTGTAATGAAGATAAGGCAACAGGAAACCTGACCCAAGTTGTATAATGTCCTCAAGAGGTTAAAAATGGAAGGTGGGCCACAGACACTCAGGCTATGGGGATGTCTCTTATTCCAGGACTGCAGTGGAGAGAGAGGTATTCCAGGGTTCCCAGTTTGAACTACTTAAAATGTTTTCTCATAGAAAACTTTTTATTTTTGATGGGTAGAGATATGTATTCAGTAAACCCTAAGTCATTACTGTGAATCATAGGAAAGTTGTAGACTGCAAGGTACACTGTGAATTAAATGTGAATTAAATTGCACCCAACCACCACAGTTAGCATTTTGTTGGTTAGAAAATGTGCACCGAGTCCCAAAGAGTTAAATATTACAAGTGGGGCTTGTTTATAGTTGGTTGATACCTACCTTGATGTTAATGGAAAAATAATTAGCAAAGGAGTGTCTAACCATCACTGTGCGAATTATTACATTTTAATACATGAATGTGAGTGTGCAGTCTGTAGTTAAGCACATGAGTATTTTCACATTCCAAGCCTCCAAACTTGGAGATTAATGAAGTTGCTGATGGATGTGATGATTGGAGAAGAGAGGCAATTTATATAGGAATATAGTTGTATCCATTACCTTAAGGTGGCTTTGTGATTTATAGAACATAGTTACAGACTCTTGCTTCTCTGATGCACATTTTAAAGTTAATCTGTTGTGAGTGATACCAGGTGAGATCTGCCAGGAGCTCTGTGTGTTCACTTGTGCCTCATTAAAAGCAGTGGAGAAGAAAGTGGGTGATGTTGTGTGTTTTTAATGAGATGCTAGCACACTTCTGACACTAGCGTGGTGTTCACATGAGGAAATCCAGCACTGAACACTGCTGATCGGTTGCAGGAAGTGTTAGTGGAAGAGACATCTACTGTAAAACCCTGCAATGACTCCAGTGTGGTGCCCTGCAGGGTGGCGGGCAGGAGCAGGACCCAGCTGTGCTGGCTGTAATTCTAGAGCAGCGTGGTCTCTGGCAAACTCTGCTCCCTTCGTGGGAATGTCTACCGGGGAGGCGGTTAGGGGCATTCGTAGCCCGCATCAGAGAAGACAAGTGGTTCGTGAACCACGGGGTTTATGGGAATTCGGGTGTAACAGTGAGCAGTCGGCATTCTTTGGTAGATCTGGCGCTTCTGTGCGCCTCCCTGTTGAAGGATTCTCCACTGCGGCCTTCACTTCCTTATGTTCGCTCCTGCAGAGTCCTCCAATGCCACCTTGTTGACCAACGCGGAGAAGATCGCCACCATCACCAGCACACACAGTCCTGCTCAGCAGGGGCCCCAGGAGCCCAGGTCAGCTGCGGCTTTGGTTCTCTGAGGTTGGAGGGGGCGACTCTCCGTGTGACCGCAGACGTCTCTGACTCTCCCAGTACCCTTTGGGTTGCTGTCATGTTCCTTTCTCTCTTTGGCAGGAATACCACCAAACCAAAGCCAGAATCTCAGTTTGAGTTCAAAGCAGCCCAGGCCACACAGGTGAGGGGCATTTCCCTTCTTCTTTTTATCTTTTTTGTGTACTTTGTGCATTTCCTTCCATTTTTCTGAGGCTAGTTCAAGATAGATTTTTAAAAGACATCCTTAAATAATATTTTGTGCAGTGATTTACCAATTGTGTACTCACATTTAATTGTCTAGGAAATGACATTTTATTTTACTGCCTTTGAAAAGTATTCCTAGATATCTGTGTCTAGGGTAAAAACAAAATGAAGTGTATCACAAGGATCAGTAAGCTAAGCAGATAATGTCTATCTACTTATAGTTTTCAAAAATGTATTTCTGCCGAGTGTGGTGGCACATGTTTATAATCCCAGCTCTCAGGAGGCTGAAGCAGGAGGATCGCATAGTGAGTTCAAGGCCAGCCTGGCCTACATAGTGAAACTCAGTCTCAAAAAACCAAAAAAATAAAAATTTGTTTCTGCCAAGAAAATACCTCTTTTGATAAGGTCTTCCTCAGGCTTGTGAATTTCAGGTGAGACACAGAAGAACTTGCCCTCGGGATAGCAATAGAGGTGCACAAGTGATAGAAAGTGAAACAAATCTGGGAAATACTAGGTGACGCAAAGTTAAATAAGTTACTGTCCTATTCAGCTCCTTGGAGCCCTTGGTACCCACTCATGTTCCCCACACATGGCATGGGAGCCATTCCCAGACTGCAGAGCCTGTGTGGCACCCTAGGGCGGCGCTGCCAGCGTCTAACAGGCTTGGTGAGGAAGCACAAGGCTCAGCAGCAACCGAGTGGCGTCCTGCCAGTGCCAGCCACCTCGCCCGGTGCAGATGCAGCCCGAGTGAATGCTCACACGGGCGTGGACAGGCGCGCTTGTGAACATTTTCAGGCTCTAGCTCCCCCGCTGCTGAGATAACAGACTGATGAGGATGATTAATAAATGAGTTAGGGTCACCAAGGGTGGTGGAGAATGTACCTTTTGGCCAAATTACTGTCACAGAGAATGTTTGGGAAGAGGTGAAGAAAAACGTGTGTGGACATAAATTCTCCTAGAATTCTTGCATTTAAATTCTTTAAACAGGAGCAAGATTTTTACACTGTGGAACTGGAAAGAGGAGCCAAGGGGTTTGGCTTTAGTCTTCGAGGAGGTCGAGAGTACAACATGGACCTGTATGTTCTGCGTTTGGCAGAGGACGGGCCTGCAGAAAGGTGTGGAAAGATGAGGGTGAGTCTGAAAAGGAGGCGGGGTAGATGGAAGCAGGCCACCTGCAGCAGCTCCTCGGCGCATGGCCGGGACATTCGTGTCCGTGAGGTTACACTTTCTACGGGGTTTGAAGAGATCCCGCCCTGCCCTACTATATGTCTCCTCCTAAAGGATTGTCAGCTGTGGCTACTCAATTTGGGTGGATCTTTGAAAAGATTAAAATTACTAGCAAATGTCTCAAAAGTAGTGTTCTCTGAATGCCCTTTCCTTAGTTCTTGTGATTGCTTGAAGCAGGCATCGCTTCACAGGAATCCCTAGGTACTCAGGATGTTCAGGCAGCAGGAAACCCTGGTGCCTGTAGATTCTGGGCGTGGGCTCTGTTCGTGCTCCTGCTGGTCATCAGCCGTCTTCCCTAGGGTACACAGCAAGTTGACCCTGTTTCTCAACAAAAGGACAGCACCTTCACAGCTTCTATACCCAGAGTTCTGTTTTAAATACACCAATGCCAGAAGTTTGGCCTGCTCTGTTGAGCTGTGTAGTACCTGTTGCCATGAATGAATGTGTCATTCTCCTGAGCAAATTGGATGATTAGGAACGATAAATTGTCTCCTCATCATCGATGAGTCACCTAGACTGAGATACATGCATAGGAAGCCATTTGCAACCAGTTAAAAGAAAGTCAGGTCAAGAAAGGAAGAAAAGTGAATTAAATTGGGCTTGAGCAGAAAGAAGAAAACACTGACCAAGCATAAGGAAGTCAGTATTGTATTTGTACTTAAGGCACAATTTTGATCTTTAAGTTTCTTCAGACTGAATTTTTAACAGTGTTTTTCTTAATTGAGGAAGGACAAGTAGAGCATGTTTCAGACATTAAGCAGTGAAAAGCTGTGTACACATATAAAAATACAACTGCCAGGATCCAACAGTATACCAGTTTCTTGTGTGCCCTGTCGTTTTGCATATACATGGGGAATACATTCAGTGATAGATACATATATTGGGATATGCGTTCCCTGGTCTTGAATCGTTCTTAAAAGTTTCCAATCGATTGGAATGCCACGATCATAGGTTACATAATGGTGCACAGCCCACAGGAGACCCTGACCTGGGTGATCCTGCCGCACAGCAGGTGTGGGTGTAGCTTCGGCCCCTTCTGCAGATGCGGAAGTGGATCCAGGAAGTTGAAGGACCTAAGCTGACAAGAGCTAAGATTCATGTTCACAGACTCCAAAGCCAGTACCTTTCCTCTTCGTGCTTCTGGAACATACACTCCATTGAGCAGCAGCAGTCTGGCCTGTTCTGTTCATTCCCTCTTGTCCAGCGCCTACCGCAGTGGCTGAGCCAGTAAGTGCCATGCTCACTGTGAGCCCAGACTGGTCTCCTGAAGGTGCGCCTGGGGGAGGGTTACATAGGGCTCGTTTGTGTGGTGGTCCGTTGGCTGGAGCCTCGCTCTGGCCTTTCTGTGAGGCTCCCTGATAGTGTTAGTTTTTGTCATAGGACAGAATACCTGAGAAAGTGAACTTTACAGGAAGAAAGATTTATTTTGAATCATAGTTTCAGAGGTTTCAGCCCATAGTCCGTTGGCTCCCTTGTTTGGGGACCTGTGGTGAGCGAACGCCCTGGGGGAGTGTGTGGAAGGGCAGAGCTGCCCACACCATGGCAGCTGGGACACAAGAGAGAAGGTGGCTGGGGCCCCAGGATCCTCTTTAGGACCCCGTCCCCAAGACCTGACTTCTCCTCTGGGCCCCGCATCCTAACGCTTCCCCCACCTGCCACGGCACCATGGGCTGGGACCAAGCATGCAACACAACTTTCAGCCGTGGCAGGACGCTGTGACACACATCAGAGAGCACGTGAGGGCAGGTGGCAGAAGCCCACGCTGTCTCGTCACCTAGTCCTCGAGCTGACGTCCGAGGACGCTGACCATATTCTGTGAAGGCCTAGAAGGGATTCGCAGGCTCCAGGCCACAGCCAGAGATGATGCCCAGCCGCGACTCCGGGAGGGGGGACCCCCCAAGGGCCTGATGCAGCCCCCTTCGGCCACAGCTCGCATCCCCTCCTGGCTTAGCTTTCTCCCTTTGGTGCTTAATGTTATTTAGCAGATGTGTATTTTTCCAATTTTCTTACTACTTGTGTTTCCCTCATTATAATCCAGTCTCTGTGAGGACAAGGATTTCACTTTGTATTTTTCACTGCTGCACCCTAAGCAATAAGAAATCCTCTGGAATGTGCTTAATAAATATTTGGTGAGTGAGTCAGTGAAAAAGGGCCTCCAGAGCTGTGACCGTCCTTCTGTTCTCTCTTGCCCTGGCAGATTGGTGATGAAATTCTAGAGATCAATGGTGAGACCACCAAAAACATGAAGCATTCTCGGGCCATAGAACTGATTAAGAGTGGTGGCCGCAGAGTTCGTCTGTTTCTCAGGCGGGGCGACGGCTCGGTCCCGGAATATGGTGGGTCAAACTTTGAAAACATTCCTTCCTTCCCTGGCATGACCCCGTGAATTGTCTCCAGACGGCAGCAGAAAAGTCCTCTTGTTTCCCCTGATCACCAGTGTCTTACCAGCCGCTCGCACCATGTGATTACTTGCCTCGCTTGTTCTGAATCTCTACACATTTCATCCTTTTGCTTGCTCACGTGGACTGGGGCATGGCCTAAAGGAGGCCCTGACAGCCCCTTTCTGATAATCAGAGAGAAGGAGTTGTCCAGTCCGACCAGGAGTGGAGGGATGTTTGAACTGTGCCAAACTGTTTCTCAGACCAATTGTTAGCACAAATGACTATATACTCCTTTGAAGAAGCAGGAAAGCAGGTTTCCTGAGTGATATGTTGAGGCACAATATATTCTTTTTCTTTTTTGGTTACTTGATATCTTTATTTAAGAGGTGTGAAATCTCAAGATGATTTGGGGCTTGCTCGCCCCTGTATGCTCTGGATACAGTGATTCTCCAGCCCTTACCGGTCTCTTGCTGCAGTCAGACCACCTAAGCCCACTACTATCAAACAGACAAACCAAAACTGCTGATATATTAGCCATATAGATTCCCAGTGCTCACCATGAGGGAAACGTGTTACTATACCTTTCCTATGAGGGAAGCCAGGTTATACATAGAATTCCTTTGTCATCTCTTTAGGTATGACTTGAGTAGACAGATATGATCTTTACATAGCTTAGTGTTCTGATGGCAATCTATTGTATATTGTAATAATCATGTCCTATTAAGATTCTTGTTTAAAATAAAAATGAAAAAAGGAAACTATGCCCTAGATATAGGGCTTTTTTTTCCCCGACCAAAGGTCTACAAAAGTTTCTATAGAAACTGTGATTGAATGGCCCCCATATACATTGGTCCCCTTTATTAGGGATTTATCTGTTAACACTCTCTTTTCTGAAAGTCATTCTGCACAATTCCCAGTTGCATTTTAGACTTGAGTTGCTTAATGCAGCTGCAGCTCAAGGAAAATAGCTCCTTTGAAAGGCAGCCTTCCAGGTGTTAGACATGGGTTCAGGTGCACAGGATGAGGGTCCAGGAAAGGGGGGAGAGGGTCTCAGATTAGATGCTGCAGATGTGGCCACCCAGGAACAAAAGCGACAGCGCGAGGCTGCCCACCTGCTCACTGTGCTCAGCTCCGACCGCCAGGTGTGCCGCTGCCCCTGAAAGTGTAACTATGTCTCCCTGTGCTGTCTTCCCTACGCTTCTGTCGGACGTGATGTTCCGTTTGAGTCTTCATCAGTAACCTGTGCACCTTCTCCAAACCTGTGTCTGTTGCACTGAGGATGAAAATCCAACACTAACAAATGTTCTTTGGGCTAAAAATAAAGAGCATTCACATGGTTTTCCAAGAAGGGGTGACATGCCAGGGTTGCTCTGCTGTATGTTTCCTGTGTCCTTTGGACTAAATCTCTAACTCCGTTGATTAGAGTCACAGATGGGTTACACTATGTTAAGTTCCAATATTTTTCTGACTTGACTGGAACCTGCTTCTCTGTGAGGCTATTTTTGTAATAGTTTTGTACTTAGTCTAACTGCGATGGGGGTGCGGGGGGTGTTCTTTGTGTTTATTCTTAATGCTCTCCTATGCCAGCCTGTCATTGTTCCAGTTGTTTGAAAAAAACACAAAACAAAACAGGACGCATCCGTAGTCTGGGTCCTCAAGTCACCTACACTGTCTGAAAACGCCATTCCCATCACGGTCTCTGCAGCCTTATTTATAGAGTGTTGCCTTAGGCTGTCTGACTGGACAAATAAACTCGCTTTGCCCTATGTTAACAAATGCAGATTTTATTTTTTTTCTTCTTTGTTATAGGGAATCTAAATGTTCAACTTTTTCTCTTTCTCTCTCTTTCTCTCTGACTGTTCTTGGTGCTGGGCCCTCCCTTCTACAGCGATGATCCCTCCTAACATCGCTGCATGTATGAGAAGTGAAAAGCTCGGGGAGGCTTGCTTCTACCTTATGGGCCATAATCAAACTACGGTTTGTAGCTCAATCAATACTAGGTGTTTCTGTGCTGTGGCCTAACTTCCTCATTGCTTCTGCTTAGCTCTATTTTGATACGTTTGCCAATTCATTCTGAGCACCCTGCGGTCTTTGAATTGTAAGTACACCACTGACATTGTGGAAGTGTTGCTCTCCCTTGTGGTATACGTAAGAATTCCAGGCTAGGTTTCCAATAGTGATCTAAGGACCTTCCCTCACCCAAAAGTCAGAGTTTGTCTCCATCCTAGAAAGAGTAAACCTTACATCACAGAGCTCACCTATGTACGTAGAACTTGTAGTACATCCCCCAGGGCCAAATCTCGTCCACCGCCTGTTTCTCTTAATAAAGTTTTATTGGCATATAGTCATACTCACATCTTTTATGTGTTGCCTATGGCTTTGCCCTGCAAGGGCAAACAGAGACTGTGTGAACCAAAGTATCTTCTGCCTGGCCTGTTAGAAAAGTTTCGCTGACCTCAGTTCTAAGCTATATCCCTGCCACCCTGCCTGGCTCTGGGAGATCCTTCATGAAACATATTAATTGCTTACCCGTGACCTCGTTGCCTTATGAAAGATCTTTCAAGCACCCCGAGGGCTCTTGCCTTTGTCACGCCAGGCTGCCCTCCACACTGCAGCGTGTCATGTCAGCACCTATGACGTGCTGAGTTTACTTCCAGCAAAACATCTCTACTTTGGAAAGAGCTCTCATGCATTCCAGATGCCCTGAGGCACCTGCAGTGTCATTTCAGATCAGTTCATAATAACAAGTAGGAGCTGTCCTGGGAGACCTTGTCTTGATGGTGTAAGAAGCAGCTCATTGACTCCATAGTTCTTAGATCTCATTATGGCTGCCTCATATACCATCTAGGGAAAAGTATCCTTAACCCTAAAGATTGTAAGTGCCCTGTCTTACCTCAGATGTGTACCTAACATGCTTTTTCTCCTCCTTTTTGCTGACCACCAAACTTTGCATTTAAAAACTGTTCCCTTTTTTTTTTTCAATTGACACAGAAGTACCCAAGATAGGTGAATAACACCCACAAAGGTAGAGAGAACACTTTTAAAGACCTTCGGGTATGCGTCGCACTTGTCAGTCAGCATCTGGCCAATGTGTTACTTCCGTAATCCCCTCTGTCCAGCACGCTACTTTTTTTAAATGTAGAACTTGGGCCAGGCTTGCTGGCCAGCCCCTGTAATCTCGGCACTGTGGAGCCTGAGGCAGAGGGATCTCGGCAAGCTCAAGGCCAGCCGGAACTCCATAGTGAGGCTCCCCCCCGCCCCAGCAGACTTTGAGAATGATGAAATACATTAACCCGAGGGTGCGGTGCAGCAGGTTCACCTCGTACGCCCCGCTTGGATCACCACCCTCAGACAGCCCTAGAAACTTGCCTCCTGCCCCTCCAAGTCTGTGCCCTTCCGGGTTAGACCAGTGAGAGCCGGCACCCCGCAGAGGAAGGAACGCTTCTGTGGGCACAGGGACCGCGCTGGCGGGGTGAGGGAGCAGTGCGTGTGGGGGTGCTTGCGGACAGCCTGCGGGTGGGCTTGGGGTCCGTCAGTCCTTCCGTGGTCGCGTGTCGGGCGTGGCGAGCAGCTGGCAGGTGCTAAAAGCCCCGGCCTCTCTGGGCCTGCGCAGTGGGCGCGGCCCCTGGCCCAGGCTCCTGGCTGCGCCCTGGCTGTCGGGCGCCCAGTGCTTGCGGGCGGGCGGGCGCGGGCCGCATACCGAGTGTCCCCTCTGTCTCCCCGCAGACCCCGGCAGCGAGCGCGGCCGCCCCGCCGGGACCCGCGGGGGCCCGCAAGTGAGGCCCGGCCGCCGGCAGCCCCCGCTGGAGCCCGGCCGCGCCCCCGAGCACCGCCAGCCCTCGCAGCACGCGGAGGACGCGCAGGCCGGCGGGGAGCGCAGCAGACCACCCCGCGAGCGCCACACCCGGAACGGGGCCCCGCGCAGGCCCGACGGCGGCCCCGAGTCCCGGCCCCGGCCCCGGCGCCGCTCGCCCGAGGGCCGTGGCGGGGGCTCGCGCAGCGCCGACACCACGCTGGAGCGCAGCGACGGCGCCAGGCCCGCGGGCTCCCCGGAGCGGCGGCGCTCCCTGGAGCGGCCCCCGGGGCCCCGCGCGCCCGAGCGCAGGGCCAAGTCCTCCGAGCGCCGGCGGGAGCGCTCCCTGGAGCGGAGGGGCCGCGAGGACCGGGCCGAGCCCCGCGAGCGCGAGCGGAACCCCCCGGAGCGGGAGCGGGAGCGGGAGCCGCGCCGGAGACCCTACCGCGAATGTAGCACCGACCTCAGCATCTGAGCCGGCCGCCGACCCGGACCTCCAGACCCGGACCTCCCCGACCGAGCGGCCGAGATCAGCGAGCTCTTTCCCCGAGGAAGCGCCCACGCCGCTGTCCCTGCTGGGGACCGACGCGTTATGCATCTGAAATCTCACGAGAAAAACAATATGGAAAGTGTTGTGCCTGATGTATAATATTAAAGAAAGTATTTTTAAATGCATACCTTTTTTGGAAGTTATTTGCCAAATACTGGCCTAAAGGGATATACATTTTGTTTTTAAGTAACCGGCAGCATTGTTAAGAAGTCGTCCCCTTTTTTGGACAATCTTTTCCCTCCTGGTGAAATGGGGCTGTTGCTGGTCATTTTCTCAAAGTAAGGGAAATTATTTTGTTTAAGTAACTTGATGTGGACTGTTATGTAGTGATGTAGTGTTATTCTGTAGACAGGAAGGCTTTTTCTTAAAAGCCAAGAGCAGGAAGGCAAGCTTCTGTTTGTAAAAACTGAGGACCTTTTGGCATGAACAGGGTCGCCAGTGATCCTGAAATTAAGCAAACTGTATGAGGAGACTACTGTTGCAAATGAAGGATATTTATAGCTAAACTGCACAGCACAAAGGAAGTTATGTCCCTGAGTTATAGTTGGTTCAAGACAGCTTGTCCCCTCCCTGCCCAGGAGGGCACGGACACAGGAGGCCGGCCATCACTAGCCAGGTGCACTGCGCCCTGATTGCAGGTGCTTAGCATTCCCAGTCTGGGTCAGATCTCACGAATGCAGCGCTCTGCAGCTCTGCTCAGCTACTAGAAGGGACGGACAGCAACACCTGTGTCCTGCTGGCTCTTGTGAGGCGGAACATAGCAGGAAAGCGTGACAGGGTGCTGGGCGTGAAGCAGGCCTGAACGTTCCCAGCCCCAGAGGTGTGCTCTCCTCTAGCACAGGCCCATGGCTGCGGAAAGAGCTTCCCTCAGGAACCTCCTCTCTCCTGATGTTTGCAGAGGTGAGTGCCGGGTCTGCTCATTCCTGGAAGTTTAGGTAGATTGGCGGGGAAGGAAGGACAAGATCCCTAAGGCTCCAGGCCTTGGGAAACCTCTGTGGTCTTGACCCTGTCCTTTGTGTCTGGGCAGCAGAAAAAAACTGAATGGTTTTTCCTTTTAAAGAAGCCCACTCTTTTCTGACCCCTCAGGAGATGGGGCTGGGTTGGAGGCCCAGGGTGTGGTTTAAGTGGATTACTGCCTAGCTGAGCCAAATGTTTGCTTGTTCCTGTGGGACCACTAAGCAAACACTGCTTGCCGTGCGTTGTGCATTTCTATACACTGTTTCACACCTTCCGTACAGACACAAACCTTCGCAAGTCAATCACTGTTGTTCCCATGGTACTGTATTTTTTTTAAAAAGGAAAAAGAAATAAAACCAGCCAATCATTGTGTGTATAGTTAAAAATTGTAATTAATAGAGCCTGTTTAAAAAAAACAACTGTTGCCTTTTTTCTTGTATAAAAGAGAATTTATGAAACAATTTAGCTGTGAGGAATGTGATATGTGTTTATATTTCTGAATATGAGCAAATTGATTTACGGGGATATATTTTAATGTAAACTAAATCAGGTATGTAAAGTTGTTTTAAAAATGGGCGATATATAAGTAATTCTCTACAGCTTTAGTTGGTTTGGTGTCATCTTCCTCCATGGTGAGCCTGCTTGTGAATTACTAAGCACTTGTTCACATTCTCTGTTCTTCACTTGTTTATTTCTTGCAGTGTGCTGTGGACTTAATGCTCTTTCTGTATTGATGAAAAGCAGTATGTGGGCCAATCTTTTTATAAAACACTATGCATATATAAATATTACATTGTTCATAGCTTTATTTGACTTCTGAGTTTATAGATAACATTAGAATAAATAGCTGTGGTTGTGTAGACACTTAAAAAGCAAGTTCCTTTCCTGGGACAGAGACTGTACATTCTGTAACTAAAGAGGGGAAAGAATGAATGCTATTTTTATTATCAGAGTTTTCCATAGAAAGCATACATTGGGGTGGAGTA